GAGCTAATTTGCTACATAATATGGTGGAGAATGGTGGCATCGTTTTAAACATTATTTGCAAGCGTACTCATTATCAGACTTGTGTTTGTCTCATGGGTTTTATTAACATCTTACACATGCATACCAGCTTCTGATTAACTCAGATAAACTATAGCTTGAATGCGCCTTACTAAGAGCAGTAGAACGTTTTTCAATGCTATATATAGCAGTTCTAGCAACTGTTGTCTCCTTAATGAGCCATACAGTTTATTAGTAACCCTAATTCCTGTCTCTGCTATACCCCTCCTTACTTCTCAGCACCAGACCTATTACATAAGGTACAGTTACCATTCATTATGCTACAGGCCCTTGAGAAGACTAGAAACACTTCCTAGTTTATATACCTTGAGGTGTTTGATGTGTTCCTGCTAGCTTAGCTAACAGTCTCCCAAGGTTTTATGACCCTGCTACAGCATTCCTTTGAACAAGTGACAACTGCTTAGTCGTATCTCACTTAAACTAAACAAGGAAAGCCCTTCCTTCTCCCTCCGTCTCTTTCTGATTTTATTTTTGTTTTGTTTTGTTTTGTTTTATTTGATACCCTTGTAGTGACCAAACCTGTGAACCATCAGTGCTTTGAGTAATAGTTTGACCACACGTATAGCCTGGTCATTAGCTGACCCCTGCTTACAGTCCCGTCAACAAAGTTACTCAAACCCTCTCCTTGTGTTCACCAGCACAAAATCTTAGCACCCTACCTAGCTGCCCCTCACCAGCTATTCACACCTTACACGGCCTACAGAGCCGTTCCCCATACAGATAGCTTAAAGGGATAGTTCACCCAAAAATTCTGTCATTAATTACTCACCCTCATGTCGTTCCAAACGCCTCACAGATGTGCAGTACGCCACTGAATTAAACCAAATCATTTTGATGACAGACTTTGGCTCAGGCATTTCAGAATGATCAAACCAACATTTGACATGCTGTGCAATGAAATCTTCTAGTTAGTCCAATTATCCAATCACATTAACCGTTGAGTCAGTCATCGTTTTTTTTTTTGTTGTGCATAGATGGATTGATTCGTAAATGTGTTTCCAATATAGTCTATGCAAATGTCTTATCAGATAAACAAATAATTATACTCCTCAATTGAGTGCATAAGATTTTTAATGCCCTTTTTAGAATTTATGCGTATCTTGGTGATTCTACTGTATTTCTATGCAATTTCACAAAATTGCATAAGAAATATGTGGATGGAAACATATCTAGTGAGAAAATGTGGGGGACGGAATAGATGTAATGTCTGTATAGATGGTAGATTTGTTGAAATTGTTATTATAGTTGCATGTTTAAAAATTTATAGTATTGTACAACTGTGATATATGATGATTGAATTCACAATACCTTCATAAAAAAAGCAAAAACACACTTGTTGCATGATTTTGTTGAAATGGAGTTAAACAATTTTGCTGAATCTTTTGTAGAACAGATACATTGCCATCTTGCTCTGACCAAAATGACTTGGATACACCTGATGTTGTAATTATGGCTTCTCAACTCATAAATACAAACTTTCCAGGAGGACTTGAATGCAACGTCTATAATACTCAAACAATGTTGAGTTTAGGGCAGGGCTATCTCTTGGGTTGTGACCCAGAAATGGAGCACAGGTGTGTTCTGGCAGGGTTTTGGATAGCAGGGAAAACAATCCTCAATGCAAACAATATTTTATTTTATGGTAATCTTTGGTATTTTGGCAGATATTCATCTGTCGCTTGGTACAAGTTAGTCAAATTAGGTGGATGTGAACATGGACAGGTTGCACAGCATGTCCTCATCCTTGAAACCTATGAACAAGGATAAACATGGTTTGTGCCAAGTACAATGTGTTTTGAACTAAATTACTAAAACTAGAAATTGACTGCCAATATGAAATCATTGAAATACAACAGAAACAGCTGTCAGTTTTGCATATGGTTGGGCTTATGAGCTTCATGGTTATGTTGATAAATGTAAACGTTTGATTTTTGTTTAGTTTTGTACAATTAACAAGTTTGGTACTCCTTTGGATCACATAAAAGTAAAACCAGTTCAGCACCACTGATTAAAATTACCTAATTTCTATAGTTCTGTCTTCCAGGCATTTATGTTATTTTCTATGTATTGTTCTGATCCTCCTTTACATGATAATCCAATAAATTGGATTCCAAGATTTCAGTAACAAATGTTACTGCAACTACATTACACATGTGCTTTGTAGTAATGAGAATATCTACTTAATTGTCATAAAAATAGTCTACGCTCCCCCAATATTTTTCATTAATCTAATTTTATTTTGCAGTTAAATATGATTTTGGCAATGGTCATGACAGTTTTAGTGATTTTCACACTTACATCCACACTTAAATTAATCTGCCAAAACTGACCACTCAGAACACAAACAATTGTTCAATGAACTTTATTTATGGATTTTCTTTGCTTTTCATTCAACACATCCACATAAACATCAGGTCTTACAAGTCATCTTGAGTCCAGCAAGATGACTTAATTATCAGTCATTACTGAGTCTTAACAAGTGCTTGAATGCATAAGGTGACACCCTACTGAGTTTAACTTTCAGCTGAAAACACACAAACAGTACTGGACAACCATTGTAGTACATTACACAGTCACCTGTCATGAGCCGTAAATGAACAGCCGCCGCCAGGGCAGCCCAAAGGTGATGCAAACAAAAAACCATGGCCACATTCAAATAATTAAAATGGGTTGTGAATGTTATCTTTGGATCAGTAGGACAAGGTGGTGGCACATCATGTAGCGTACACAGCATGTACAGGGTTTGATTAGGTCTGAAGTGGCTAACAACAACAGTAGAATAGGTGTCAAATACACAAGTTTTGACGTTAGACTAATACTACAACACAAATACTGTTACACACGCAAGACTAGCAAGCCACAGTTCATAATTCATAAACAACAGAGGTTCTTGAGACATCTAAATTGCCTGGTTGCATATGAGGACATCATTTCCATGGTCCTTAGTATAAATGGGTGATTCCCATCAAAACGGTCAAGAAATATCCTGGTCATATTTCAGCACAATAATTCAAAGAAAATGTGCTTATCAGTCATGAAAATAATGTCACAATGCAGTGCAAAAATACACAATACAATGAAATTTCAAAAAAAGTTTCCATTGTCATTATGAAAAATATAATTTCTCAATTTTCTTTTTAATTTCAGGGTGAAATGTTACTTGGGAATTTCTTCCCGAGATTCACACACACACACACACAACAATAGTGTGAAACCCATTTCCACCACAATAGAAACAATACTTTGGTAAATCGAAATTATGAGATACAAAGTAAAATATGATATAAAGTGTAAAAATTACGATAAAGCCGAAAAAAGGATTTAAGTTTTCATACTTTTGTCATTTTTAATCAGTATTTTTTTAGTATTTCTATTTAGCTTTAATTGATTTTTATTTCAGTTTTCAATTATGACCTTTTTATATAATTATGACTTTTATTTATTATGACAGTTTTTATTTTTAGACATTTTAAATTGAGTTTTTATTAGCATTTTTTTTTTATATTTCTATTTTCATTTCAGTTTTTAATAATGACAATTATGACCCAATTGATCAATTATGACTTATGTCATAATTATAATTTACCAAAAGCAGTTTTTGTTTTCTTATGTGGCAAAAATTAACTTCCATACAATCTTTCAGTCTATGAAGTTTTTATTTTTAGACATTTTAAATTGAGTTTTTATTAGCATTTTTTTTAAATATTTCTATTTTCATTTCAGTTTTTAATAATGACAATTATGACCCAATTGATCAATTATGACTTATGTCATAATTATAATTTACCAAAAGCAGTTTTTGTTTTCTTATGTGGCAAAAATTAACTTCCATACAATCTTTCAGTCTATGAAGGACGTGAACAATGTTCCCTGTAATGGCTACAGAAGTTGTGTCGCCTCTACAGATGCATCACGGGAAATCCTTGCCCTCAATAACTAGTACAGCTGAAGAAAACACTTTAAAAATTGCATATTAAAGCAGCTGACATGCACAACAGCGAAAAGCAATTTCTCTGTCTATCAAAAACTCCTTCATTCTTCGATACCACAGGAACAATAAGATCTTTCAGAAGAAATAAGACATCCGCATAGGAAGCACAAACACAAAATTCATTATAAAGGGAGGAAATATTCTCGGGGGGTGCAACCAAGGAAGACAACGCAGAGAAGAGCGCAACATTATTTACATTTACATTGCGTCTGATGAACAGCCGTACATACGCTGACCCTGCAGTGACATTGTGTAGCTGTCAAAGCTTGTAATCTAGCTCGCTAATGCTACATTTTGATGCGTGAAATATCTGGAAAACAAAACCAACTGTGGTAAGAGAGGTAAATGATACATTAGAATTGGTCAAGAGGTGTTTTTTTGGGAACCGGATTTATACTGATCGGATGTACCATTTGGATAATAACAGTATATGTCTAATTTAAAGCGATCACAGGATGTTCTGATCATGTGTAAATTTGATTTAATGTAGGCTTCACTGTCTATATGACATATTACTTCAAGCTAACTTTTTAAAGGAATAGTTGAAGAATTGACTTGGTTACCGACATTCTTCAAAATATCTTCTATGTTCAACAAAAGAATCTAACTCAAACAAATTTGGCAAAACTTGAGGGTAATAATAACAAACTTAAATTTGTTGGGGGGTGAAGTATCCCTTTAACAATAACACTGCTGGCAGTGATTAACAACTTTTTTTTTGTAAATGATAACATTACTTTAAATTTTGAATGACCAACAAAGCGTTCAACATAAACCACAAACTTTTTTGGTATACCAACAACTTTATCAGCTGACCACCTCATGTGCTTTATACCTAAAAAAAAAAACAGTGAAGGTGCAACCAAGAAGAATGTATTCATAAACATACCAGAGTTTTCACAGTTCCAGGAATTTGACTTTACAGTGAAGGTGCAACCAAGAAGAATGTATTCATAAACATACCAGAGATTTCACAGTTCCAGGAATTTGACTTTGGGATTCAATTAACGCTACTCTCAAGACCAGCTTGATCGTGGTGGAAGACAAATGCTGACAACTGGAAGCCGTCGCATACAGCAAGAGATATCACCAGCAACTTCAAGGCCTTCAAGGGTTGAAATGAAAAAACAGCAATACTAATACCTAGCTGAAACAGCTAATCCTATCTTACACAAATCTAATACAGCCTATTCAAATGCTGTTGACTCCAGCTCAGTGTGTTTCCAAAGCATCTTCATGAGGATTATCTGGGTAAAACAGCATGATACTGTGCTGAGCTGAAGGTGACTCTTCCATTCAAAGAATCTCAATTCTTCATGATCCAGCTGGAGGTTTCTTAAGTGGAGTGGACATCTATATTGCACAGTGAGCATACGGGTCCTCAAACACCGGCTGCTCTTCAATGCCTCTCGCAAACAGCTTGATCAATTGGCTGTGGACCCTAAGACAGAGAGAGAGAGAAAAAAAAAATCTAACAAAATGCAACCACTTCACTGCATGATAAAAACCAACCCATGCTTACTAGAAAAAACACACCAGTGGTGACTTTTCTGCAAAATGATATTACGTGACTTTATTATTATTATTTTTTTGTACAATGTCTAGTGAGAGGTGCTAAAAAACGCATTCAGTTTTACCCCGAAACAGATGAACACGAATCTGGTGATGTTTTATTAAGTTGCTTGTTGTATGTATTGTGGCAGTTCCGAAATTAAATGGATAATGTGTTTGAAAAAAAGCGCACCACCTGCACTCAACTCTACCCTAAACCCATAGTCTTAGCAAAAGCAAGCATGAGATAAAACTCATTTGCTGAAGCAGTCATGCCATTTTGGCTTGCATCTACAAGTCTTTCAGCTCTTTTACTGTGACAAGTTGTAACGGCCACCTAATTTGTTATGTACCTTTAAGGCACCTCCTGTGATGTCATGCGTTGTCTAGGTGGGTGTGCCTGGGTAACGTTTGCGCTGGTGATATAGCGGACTGTTCTAGTATACTCTGCTCCAGAAAGCATCCTGATTCTTTTATAGTGTGTCTTGTAATTTTCTCCCCACTCTCCTACATGTATGCGGAGAGTGCGAGGATCATTTGAAGCTACGTATAAAGACGTATGGGATCACCAACTCTCGTCTATGAGTATTATTTTCCTTCTTTTATTCCTGACATCTGGGCAAATCCTAAAACACTCTGGTCGACGTTACAAAGTGTTTCATGGAACTCGTACCTGAGCACTCCACATCACAAGTGCAATGCTGTACCAGGTGAGCTACTGAGCAAGTTAACTATGTGTTGTATTACATAGTATTGTCTAAGGATTTGCAGGTAAAAAAATGTTGTAAGCATAATTTGTGTTAAAGGGATAAAGGCTGTTGATGTCTTACTGCCACTAGTGTTCATTTTAGCTGGAAACTGCAGGGAATTGTATGTATAGTAGGGCTGGGTAAAAAAATATAGATATCTCGATTTTAATCGATTCTGATTTTTACGGAACAATATCGATTCTTAAATCTCAAGAATCGATTAGTCTAGCCTGTTTTCAGTTAATGGACAGAACATTGAAGGGCACCTCCCATCCAATATATTGCAATAAGCATTGTGCTTTGCTATTTTTAATATGAAACAAAGTCTCAGATTTCAAATGCTGTCCATTGTATTGCAGTATTCAAACAATAAATGCCGTTTTGGCGCCGTTTAATGTGGAGTGACAGATCGCTGTAGAGCCTCGATCATCAGACGCGGCAGCACGAGGCGCATGTGAACTGATCATCTCCTACACATTAATACCAGTTTCAGCACAAAATAAACATGACTAAACATCCGAAGGTAAGTTAAAAGAAAGAGTACAACTTTACAATTCGTATCCTGTCTCATGTAATCGCTTAATCAGTGTTTTAGCTGCACAAAGACGTCAATATAACGGCTTGTAAACAATGTCATGCAACGTCACATTTACCTCAGAAAAACATATTCAGTGACCATAAACTCATTAGTCAGATAGAAAAATAAACTGTAGAGAGGGGCATTTTGCTAAATATATGCACCATATAATATATTCATTATAATTTTTTACTGTTCTTCAATGTTTAATTTATATTTTTTTTATGACAGCCACCATTTAAATGTTTATATTTAAAAAAAACAAAAAAACGAATTGAAGTAGAAATATTGTCATTGTAACTTTTATTATAAAAACTTCATTAAGTGTAATTTAAATTGTATAGCCTAAAAAATCAGTCATGTTTAACCTTCAGTATTATAGTAATGTAGTACCAACTGACTCTCATGTATATTTTACAGCATTAGTTAAGATAATTTTTTTTCCTTGAGAAAATTTGCCATGTGTACCTGATATATATCCAAAATAATCGATATTGAATCGAATCGAATCGCAAGCTTGTGAATGACAATCGAATCGAATCGTGAAATTTGTGTCAAAACCCAGCCCTAATGTATAGGTTGCAAAAATGCAGGTAGAGGCATGTTTTTCCAATGTACCGGCTCAGCTAAAAAGTATTCTAAATTTGTTTAAAATTTAAACAATATAACTGTAATATTTAAGTATAGTGGTTTGTTCAAATCCCTAACCCAAACTATATGCATCAATAACATAGATGCTTGCCTTAGCAAAAACCACTAATATGTTGTGTCCTAGACTAAAACAAAGTACGAGCAAGTGCTGGTAAGCAATAAATGCAACGTCATGTTGAATAAAAAGTTTTGTAGTTAAATGCATGCGCTGTTAGGAGGTTCGGGGCTCTTTAATTTCCTCTAATTCCACTCAATACTCTGGAGGTGAGTTCAGTGCCAGGCGATTGCCTTTTTCGGCCGTGGTATCATCATCAATTATCTCAACAGGTTATTTGCTTACTCATTCGAGAAACAATTACTGAAGCTGAAAATGGAATAAATGAATGGACTTCTATTTTAATTAAAGGAGGTGAGCCTTTAACAGTGAGAGGGCCATAGTCCAATACATGAACTCATAAATACAAAAATACAGAAATGGCAAACACAGAGGGCGTATCTGGACAGGGACACCTACCGGACTTGAATGGCAGTGTGTGGAAGGATCTCTCCATCACAGTTCCAGTTGCTCTGGGAAGGCATGCAGCCACAGGCTCTGTGCTCCCTGCAGATCTGACTAAGGAATCGCTTGCCTGTCGCTCCGCTCTCTCTCAGGTCCACTTCGGAATCACACTCCTGGTATCTGGGGGTGAATCGGAACTGCTTGACCCGGTACACCTCCACAAAAGAGTGATCAAACTGAAGAAAGAAAGGGAACAAGAGTAATGCTTACTGAATCTCATGTCAAATATCATTAAACACCAATAAATCAGCATATTAGAATGATTTCTAAAGGATCATGTTACACAAAGACTGGAGCAATGGCTGCTGAAAATTCAGCTTTGTCATTGCTAGAATATATTACTAAATTATATTACAATAGACAAATGTTATTATAAATTGTAATAATATTTCACAATATTACTGTTTTTACTGTATTTTTCATAAAATAAATAAAGCCACAGTGAGGATAAGAGACCTTTTTAAAAATCATTAAAAATATCTGAAATTTTTCAATTCATAATGTCATGGTAAATTTGGGATCTGTGTATTGTATATTTACAAAATAGGCCAAGAACTATATTTTGATTAGAAATAAACTCGCTGGTTAATTTTATTAGGGGCATTTGAATTATGAACTGTTACAAGATTCCAATGCTAATGAATTTCAATATATTTGTGATTACTGGATAAAGATTGTTAAAGTATGTACTCACAAAGAACCATTTCTAGTTGTTTAAATATTTTAGGACTTAAGCATACAATTTAAAGGGGTCATATGATGCGATTTCAATTTTTCCTTTCTCTTTGGAGTGTTACAAGCTCTTGGTGCATAAAGAAGATCCGTCTCAAATCAAAATAAATATTCTTTATAAAAGTTAAGAGTCAACCACGCCTACCTAAAACGGCTCATTCTAACACGCCCCCACATGTCTACGCCACGATGTGGGAAGATTTGCATAACGCACCCAAATGTTCACGCAAAGAAAGAAGGCGTAACTTTTATTTTCGCTGTAGTATTGTTGCCGCCGCCGCCATGT